GAAGCCATTATTTTTCTTAATCTAATCTTCCTTTAAAAAATCCCATGTAGTTTAACCAAAGCTGGGGGGGCCACGGCACCTGCAGTAACCAACGTAGCTCCGCCGCTGATTTCATTCACTCCCGTTCGTGCAGAGAAAGAAAACTTCTTCGTCAGTTGTGTTGCATATAGTTGAACATTGCTAATTTTGACCGCCAGATAAATATTTCTTTTGTATTCTGTCTAGCTGTACGTACGTCGGCACGTGCCGCGTCGATCCCGATAAGATAAACTACGTATGCTCACGACGACTATACATGCCACTAGGCAATCATTGTTAGTGACCTAGTCCAGCTTATCGAAATGCAAACATGGTACACACATAGTACTATGACATATCATCACGACGACTATACATGCCACTAGGCAATCATTGTTAGTGACCTAGTCCAGCTTATCGAAATGCAAACATGGTACACACATAGTACTATGACATATCACCAATGCCGTTCCAAGGTTTGGTGAAGCCAACGTCCAAGGTTGTTCGCTTGGCGCCGTCGCCATACATCAGCGCGGCATTAAACAACGTGATACTGCTTTGAAAAGGACCTGACCGTCGCATTATCATTTTTGCCTTCATCCAAATTTGACTTCTTTTTTTCGTCAGAGGTGAAGCTCAAGTTGACAAAAAAATATTTTGACAATGGCATTCCAAGTTGCCAATTTCTTTCCTTAGCAGAACATGTGGCTACTGTGACTCCTTATGGTCACAAATGAATAGTGTGTTTCTCGGAAAAAAAATACTCCCTCCGTTCCCAAATACTTGTTTTTCTAGGCATTTCAAATGGACTCAACATACGGATGTATGTAGACATGTTTTAAAGTGTAGATTCACTCATTTTACGCCGTATGTAGTCACTTGTTGAAATCTTTAGAAAGACAAGTATTTAGGAACGGAGGGAGTAGTATGCATGCAGTATCTTATTTGAGAAAAAAAGTACGCATGTAAGATCATTTTTACACTATATGTCAAAAATAGTTTTGTATTTTGAGATGGAGGAAGTATCTTATTCTCTTCTTTTAAATGCCGACAGGCGATGCGCGCCAGCTTGAATCATCTAGCGTTCATAAAATAAATGTAGTGTCCATCAAATTCAGTTATCTAGATATAACATACTCCAAGTGTTAAAATGGAAATATTGCAAAACGCAGGACTGGGTGCTGTGCAGGGTGTTCTTCAAAAGCACAACAGCTGCTCCAACACCGGCCTCCGACGAGCCATCAGGTTCCCAGAGCAGCGAGGTCGGCATGGCGCCGGCGCTTCTGCCCATAGCACCTATCGACGACGTTGGCCGCATGCCCATGGCTGCGATCACCGACAGCTTCCGTGGGCACCAGGAGTACTCCACCAGCCTCCTCATGGCCCCGCAGCATTGGCCGGTGGCGCCATTGTCGTTCAGGAGCTTCAGGGACCTGCTAAGCGACATGGTGGAAAGCAGCGGCGGTGACCCGAAGCCGGAGTGGAGCGTAGACGACGGCTATACGCGGCACAGCGGCATGCCGCAGGCTTGGAACCCGTTCTGACGAGTCGGTGAGTTCTCGCAGGCTAGGTAGTATAGTAAGGATAGTATACGCTGTGTTGTCCACTCTATCGTCATATGCTTGATTAGTGATCAATTTCTTCCCTTCTCTTCTGTAATAGTCACTACTGAAATTTTCACGTACGCCGGGTGTAATGCTTTTCGCCGAGTGCTAAACCACGGACACTCGGTAAAACAAGATTTGCCGAGTATCACTCTCGGCAAACCCACGGTCACGGCAAACTGACAACTTTGCCGTCACTGCCTCACGGCAAAGAGGCACCGCACGGCAAAGTTGCAGACGCCGAGAGCCGCTCACGGCAAAGAGGAGCCACATGGCATGCCCGTCCGCAACAGACGGCTCCGTCAGTTACTGCGCACTTTGCCGAGCGTCACCCTCGGCAATGCATATGTAACATCCTTTTTTTTGTGTGTTCTTTCTAACTGACATGTGATCCCACTGATCACATTTATCAGTAAAAGTTTTAAATAACTTGCTAAATATTTTTGAAAAAAATGACGATATCTTTGCCCAGAGCTGCTCTCGGCAATCCTTCTAACTAGTAAGGATAGTATACGCTGTGTTGTCCACTCGATTGTCATATGCTTGATTAGTGATCGATTTCTTTCCTTCTCTTCTATAGCAGTCACTACTGAAATTTTCATGTACGCCGGGTGTAATGCTTTTCGCCGAGTGCTAAACCACGGACACTTGGCAAAGTAAGATTTGCTGAGTGTCACTCTCGGCAAACCCACAGTCACGGCAAACTGACAACTTTGCCGTCACTGCCTCACGGCAAAGAGGCACCGCACTGCAAAGTTGCAGACGCCGAGAGCTGCTCACGGCAAAGAGGAGCCACGTGGCATGCCCGTCCGCAACAGACGACTCCGTCAGTTACTGCGCACTTTGCCGAGCGTCACCCTCGGCAAAGCATATGCAACATCCTTTTTTTGTGTGTGTGTTCTTTCTAACTGACATGTGGTCCCACTGGTCACATTTATTAGTAAAAGTTTTAAATAACTTGCTAAATATTTTTGAAAAAAAATGACGATATCTTTGCCGAGAGCTGCTCTCGGCAATCCTTCTGACCAGTACAACAGCGTGGCCCACATGGGGGCTGACACTTTACATAGCTTTGCCGAGAGCTAGGCTCGGCAATGCTCGCCTTCTTTTCCGAGAGCTGCTCTCGGAAAAGTTGTGGCACAACAGTAGTGTCCCAGACGACCATGTTTCCGAGAGGCGCTCTCGGTAGTATATCCTTTTCCGAGTGTTGCTCTCGGAAATCTTTCCCATCCATTCTGCTGTCAAGCTATTTCTTTTCTGATCCCTGCAGATAAAAACAACTGCAGTGCAATTTGATCATATATAGGCATAATTTGATCTAGTCCACACATATATAGGCATAATTTGATCATATATAGGCATAATTTGATCTAGTCCACACATATATAGGCATAATTAGGGATAGTCCACATATTGTCACACACAAGTCGAATGTATTATCCTAGTAGACGTCACACACAAGTCGCAAATTCATACATATTGTCACTACTTGCAAAACATGTGCACGTCACAATATAAGTACACTTGTTCATATATAGATCATCTTGAGGAGGAGAGGCCATCGGGTTAACATTCTGGAGGAGGAGGAGGGGCATCACTTGAAATGCTTCGAGATTGCATAAGAACCTATAAGATGAGAGTCACGTGAGGGTGGTTCATCCATATGCAATGAATCTTCTACTCTAGTTTAGATAATGTTCTACCTGTAGTTGATCCTCAAGCAGCTTCAACCTCTTGTTCGTGTCTTCTCGTTCCTTTTCTCTGGACTCCTGCCCAGCCTGCCGCCTTTGCTCCTCTTCAACAGCCCGCTGCGCCATTAAATCCTGTAACATGACATTAGGCTCATATAGGTTGGAACGGTGCTATTTCGGGGCATGGACATAAATGAAGGTTAGGATGCTAACCTTGAGACGCGCTATCTCACGTGATGCGGCGGTTGGGCGACTCCGTATGGACGGAGTTGAGCTGGTGCTCGACGCGCGTATCTCGTGCAGCTTGCGATGCGAGGAGGTGGCGATCGACCCGTTGCAAAGGAGGCGGCGGCCATGGCCCTTCCCCTTGCCAGCAATGATGAGAAGCTCAGGATCAAGGGGCTTGGACGTAGGTTCGGCTTCCTGCCCGTGCACCTCCTGGAAGACCTCTTTGAAGGTCCCCCACTTCTCCTCCGCCGACTCGCTGCAGAACTGGGCGCCATCCTTCCCCTTGTGGCCTTCTCTCCAGGCTTCCAGGATGTGGACCGGGCGACCAGCCTTCGCCTCTGCAATGCGAAAAAGTTAACATCTTAATCCACATACCATGTGTTGCTTGAGAGCGGTTAGGTTCCGGCTCCCCCGGACATGAGTCGGGCCTGGCATTTTGGCTCGTTCGTTTCCCTTCTCCACATGCCGCGCCTGCCATGCTGGGTCACACCACATGTCAACCAGGGCCTCCCAACAATCCTCCTTCATCCAGGGTTCCTTCACCTAGTCAGACAAAATCGAATAATTGAGGAACAAGAGGGATGAATCAAAGTACTAGCAACCGATGTAGTCACTTACCACCGACAGGTATTCTTCTCGCGACAAGTTGGTCTGGCAAGTAGTCTTCCTTGTCATCTTCTCTCCCTTCTCATCGATCGGCCGACACTGCATCACGGCTTTGTACCGCAGCGTGTGCTTGAGGTCAGAGAGTATCTTTCGGGCAGATTTCATGATGCCTTTGATCACCTTCTGCTTCTCACCATCCACACAAGCAAATGTTTCCTACAAGAAAGCATATGGCATCTTCTCACCATCCACGCAAGCAAGGATTTGGATATGAAAAAATGCAGTGGTCGGAGCGAAGATACTTACAAAAAAAGCATTGATGACCCGAGTGGCCATGGTGACATTGTGCTCGTCCGTGTTGTGTAGGTAATGCTCCCAGGTTAAACCTGGCGACGCCGGATCGTCATCACCCGGCTTGGACAATCCAGGGAAGTGCTTCCTCAAGAGGGAGCCGATGACGTGGTTCGGCGGGCGTGTCCCCTTAGGTTGTGTCGGGATAAATTCCCACTGACTGCATGATATAAAAGACAAGCATATGTGAGTGTCAAAGGTGTGGCATCCAAAATATGATGGAAATGAAATGCTTGCTTACCCCTCTCTTGTCGGGCAAATGACATGACCGTTGCTGGCAGCAGTTGGTTCCGGGACCTTCCCCGGACCACGCCCGGATTTCTTCCTCTTGGAAATGTTGCTCGAGGTAGACCTCGAGCCGTCCGAGGCCTCCATGTCGCCCGACTCGGTAGCGAGCGGATCTGGTCCATCTAAGTCCACTTCGACATCGCCATCCGATGATGACTCGTCGTCGGGAGTGGACTGGTGGGAGGTGGACGACTCGGTCCTACCAATCGGGACTCTCCGGTACTTACTAGTGCCCCCATCAGAATCTGAAAAACAAATAAATATGGTGAATATTAACCACACTACTTCAATAGGAATCAAACTTTTTTTTGATCAAAGAAGGGTTTTCCCCTTCTGATTTTCATTAAAGAAAACCAAGCCAACAGGTATTCACTTTGTTGATTAGTTTACATATCTATGTTAGGGACGATGACTAGTTGGATGCTTGGTTTCATTTCAATATTTCAATATAAAAGTGGAGCCGGCCTATATGTCCAAACTAAAAAAATCGTAAGTTATGTGAAAGAAGAGTATAAGCACAACCAAAATGGTAAATAAAAAGTATTGAAGCATACTCCATGGTTTATTCAAGCTTCATTTTAACTGGATGTAATATATGCCAACAAGCATAATTCATATATGATTCCCACTCTTTAGATCTTATCAAATCTGACTTGCAGGTGCATTCAATCCTACTTATATAAAGGAGGCGAATTTAACTCATGAGGCAAGATTTTCACACATCCAAAACTACAAACTACAAACTCATGAGGCAAGATTTTCGTACATCCAAGATTTTCGCACATCCAACACTACTTCACTAATGGCATTGAATATTTATTCACTAACTAATGATCATTGCCTGCTCCATCGGAGGCATTGCCTGAGAAAGAGGACCTCTGCCACCACGAATCTCAACGGCGAAGGAAGACAAGATACAGAGATGAGAGAGGGAGGAGGGGCCGGTTTTGTACTAACCTGAGGGCATCTTGATGTCTACTACACAACCTTCTTCTTGTAGACGTTGTTGGGCCTGCAAGTTGCTACCTCTTGAGCACTGCGTTGGATTTCCCTGAAGAGGAGAGGATGATGCAGCAAAGTAGCATAAGTATTTCCGTCAGTTTTTGAGAACCAAGGTATCAATCCAGTAGGAGACCACACACAAGTCCCTTGTACCTACACAATATGATAGCTACTCGCAACCAACGCGATTAGGGGTTGTCAATCCCTTCACGGTCACTTACGAGGGTGAGATCTGATAGAGATGATAAATAATATTTTTGGTATTTTTGATAGATAGATGCAAAGTGAAAAGTAAAAGGCAAAGTAAAAACAAAGTAAGTAATAAAGCGATAGAGATTGATATGATGAGAATAGACCCGGGGGCCATAGGTTTCACTAGTGGCTTCTCTCAAGAGCATAGATATTCTACGATGGGTGAACAAATTACTGTTGAGCAATTGACAGAACTGAGCATAGTTATGAGTATATCTAGGCAATGATCATGTATATAGGCATCACGTCCGGGACAAGTAGATCGAAACGATTCTGCATCTACTACTATTACTGCACTCATCGACCGCTATCCAGCATGCATCTAGAGTATTAAGTTAAAAACAGAGTAACGCCTTAAGCAAGATGACATGATGTAGAGGGATAAATTCATGCAATATGATAAAAACCCCATCTTGTTATCCTTGATGGCAACAATACAATACGTGCCTTGCTGCCCCTTCTGTCGCTGGGAAAGGACACCACAAGATTGAACCCAAAGCTAAGCACTTCTCCCATTGCAAG